CGCGTTCAAGACTCCCCCAGCGGCCACCAAGAAGCCTCACGAGAGAGCCCCCATCAGCAAGACTACATAATTCCCGATGCGTTCCCGAAGAAGCCCCAAACTCAATGAGCATCCCTGGGGGCCCTCACCCAAAAACCACGCACAAAGGCGGGATGGGCCGAAGGCTCTTCGAACGTGGCTCCAGTACGGAGGAGTTCAACCAGGAGTACCATCACCACTGTCATCATCGCCATCATATCAGCCGCCTGCAGCCCCACAAAGCAGCGAACACTTACAAATACAAGCCAAGTAAACAACGACGATCGTCCCGACACCTTCCCAGACGCTCCAAACCAACCGCCACGAAACTGCTCCACAGGAGCTGCTTTACCCCCCACATGCCGAACGCCGCCCCTGCAGCTCCGCACCGCGAAAGGCCACTCGGTCAGTCGACAACGGCGCGCAATTATGGGCCGGCGGAATGAGCGAAGCGATTCAATAACCAACAGAACATCTCCCCAGGAAGCAAGCATACAAAACAATTGAGCGAATCGTGCGAAACCACACTCCCCAGCCCTCCAGATAGCGAGATTTCGCCACAAACTACTCCGTCATGAACCGCCCATGGCTGACCATGAAAAGTCTTGATCCAACAACACTGGCGTCTACCGTGCTACTTCTGCCGCACTCCGTCGTCACTCCGCCAGCGGAGCCGCCGCCGTTCCATGCTTGCCGCCTCACGCCTCCTTCCGCCGATGGAGAGGAGTCAACTTACCAGCCTGGAGCATATCCCTATCCCTATGCTGGGCACCTCCTCATCACGATGCCAATCTTAGGGATTCTCTTGTTTTTTGAGGGCGAATCCCTAAGATTGTCATCGCCTTTTGGCGTGTCAATCTTAGGGATAGGGATACGTTCGAGGCTGGTAATCAACGCACCAATCCCTGGACAGGCGAGGCCCTTCCTGAAACGCCTCGCACGTCTCCGGTCCGACTCGGTCGGCGGGCTGGCAGCACTGCCTGGCGGCGCGCACAAGGGGGCAGGGGAGGGAGGGAAGGCTTTCTGAAGGAGGCTGCTTCTTCGAAGGCGCCAGCCTTACATCTAAAGATGAGGCCCACGCCCTCTAAGAAGCAGGGGTGCTTCTGAGAAGCCTTCCCTCCTCCCCTACCCCCTTTTTTCGCGCGGCAGCACTAGCGAAAGAAGCCAAGGGCTGGGCTTGTCGACCCCCATTCCAGCCTTCCGGAGGTTTTCGAGTGGACCAGGAATTTGGGGCCGACCCCTGGGATGCACGATGGAGGGCGTCCATCCTCAATAGGTGTGCGTCCGAATATCCCCCTTGGGGTGTATCCCAGGGTTCCCCTCCTTTTCTGAGCGGTCTCCATTTTCGTCGAACTGTCAGGGGTCTGGGGGAGAAACTATCGCCTGCGATGCCACCACGGGGACGCGCTGGCTCCTCCGGCGCAAACTTCAGCAGCTGGCTGACGAAACTCTTGCCCTCGTCCGAGATGCCGTCCCAGATGCTTCCGGACAGCGGGTAACGCTCGTCCTGGCAGGGGCATTTCGCCGTGAAGGACGAAGGTAAGTTTAGAAATGCGTAAGTATGTAAATAAGTCAGTGAGTAAGTAATAAAAGAGCCGGGCGCCTCGACGACGCATCGGCAGAGAAGATGCCGTGCAGATCTGCACAGGCAAAGTGGTGAGAAACATCGATCGGCTGCGATTCTCTGCCGCCAGAGCTGCTTTGATACCGCGGGAGGTCAAGCAACAAAGCGATGGTACATCCGTGGCGGCGGCTGTTGAACTGAATGCGTACTGCGTAATTGGCCACTGAATTTTCATGAGATGCTTTCCCCCCCTCGTCCGCGATGCCGTCCTGGAGGCTTCAGGGTAGCGGGCAAGGCTCGTCCTGGCAGTGCGCCAACAATGAACGCAGAGTCCCTCGGGAGCTGCGGACACATGAGCGCTGCGACGATTCTGGCTGCTGTTCCTCCCGCACTCCTTTGGCCCGAGCCGTGAGAGAGCTCCATCGCCAGTTGGTCCTCTCGAGAAACCACGGGCCGGCGCGAACTCGTAGACATACGTGCCATCGCCTGTTGAAAACAGAAACACCGTGCGCCCAATCATGTCCGGATGCTTCTGGACAGCGGGCAGCGCTCGCCCCTGTGCAGGGGGCACCTCGCCGTGAAGGACAAGGAGGTCATGAGGGGCAACGGGTCCTGGCGCTCTCCATAGGGGGGCCCAAGAATATACACCACCACCACCTCCCTCCCCCCCTCCCTCCCGCTGGAAAGAGGGGAGAGAGGAGGACTCGACGTGGTGCTGGTGTGTGTTCTCTGGGCCCCCAACCTCCACCGCTCTCTCGAGCTCCCGTGGCCCTGCCTGGGCCTGCAGGGCCGTCGGGCGACCACGGAGGACGAGGAGCCGGACGACGCTGGAGACGGCGCTGCACGGCGCCTGGGCCCAGGGAGCGCCCGGCGCAGATCCCACTAGGGCTCCCAACTTCGCGCTTCGCGCTCCGCGAAGCGCGAAGCGCGAATAACTTCGCGCTCTCGCGCCGCCCCCCCAGAGGGAGAAGAGGAGGACGAGGAGGAGGGGGAGAAGGAACGAGGACCGCGAAGCGCGAAGCGCGAATAACTTCGCGCCCTCGTGGGAGCCCTTGATCCCAGCAACCCGCGCGGAGCTCCGAGAGTTCACCTGTCTGTGCCGCTTGCCATCATGCTGCTGCTGCTGTGGCCGTAGGCTCCGACAACCCATGGGCAGATACCTGTCGAGCGAATATGTAAAAACAAAAATGAGACCGTGACCCTCAAGGAAGCACTCCCGCGTTCCCCGGCAGTGCGCTGGGCCAGAAATTTGATCAGCACATCGAGATTGCATGTCGTGTGGCGGCACTCGGCGGAAAGAAAGCTTGTCATCTGAGAGGAACAAAAAAAACGCAGCGTCAAAAGGCTTCCAAGAAGCCCCGAGAGGCTCAGAGATCCCCTTAGAGTAGGCCTCCTCCCACGACGGCCCCAAGACGGCCCATAAGCCTCCCACCGAACCCGAGCACCATCGGCAGCGCCCCGGATCGGCGGCACTAGCCGGCGTGCGTATTTTTGGGATCGGCGCTGGACCCCCCCCTCCCTGGCGCGCGGAGCGTGCCAGAAGCGATGCCAGAGGCGCCACCAGGCGTGCCCAGCGCCGATCCTAGAAGTCCGCGCGAAGCTGCGAGAACATTGGCCGCTTGTCTGCTCCGACAGGTGGCGGCATCCGAACCCCACCCCCGCGGACCATCGTTCCTCCTGAATGGATGGGCGGCGGGAGTCGGGTTAAGTGTTCGCCACGTGTTCGACGAAAGTCGAAGCATGCATCCCCAGGACGAAAGTAGATCCTCTTGGGCCTTCAAACGACGGTTTGAAGTCTCCAGCAGACGCGTATTGGATAACCGCCGTGGGATCCACTTAAGTTCGCGCGGATCCAATGCTTGTGTTTGTTTCTGTTTCGGTGGATCCGATTTACGTCCGCGCGGATCCGATTTCGGATTTTCTGTGTCCGCGTATAGTGTTATGTTGTACGGCGGATCCGATTGCTACCCCGTTCTTAATTCAAACTATTAACTGCCAACAGCCGATATGAAATTCTGCCCCCCCCCCCGTAACCGCTGAGTGATGACTACCCACGTCCAATCCAGATTTGGTCGGGGAAGGGGTGCGGCACGGCCGAGCTTGATAATCGCGGGGGATCGAACTTGCTCTCTTCTTATGTTGAGTATCAAAAATCCGTACGGAGTCATGTCGAAGGGATCCTGTGGACGTCCCAAGGGACCCTATGGATATTCTAAGGGTCCCGATGGATTTCCTCAAGACTCCCATGGGTGTCCTCAAGAATCCCATGGAATTCCCCTAAGGTTCCTAAGGATTTCCTTCAGCTTAAAGACTTAAGGTCCCGAACCTAAGTTTTTGTTGGTAAGCTTGTCCTGGGGTTCCTCCTCCTCTTCCTCGTCCTCCTCCTCCTCGTCCTCCTCGTCCTCCTCCCCGTCCTCCTCCTCCTCCTCCTCCTCCGCCTCCTCCTCCTCCTCCTCCTCCTCCTCCTCCTCCTCCTCCTCCTCCTCCTCCTCCTCTTATGGCTGTCCCAAGGCATCCTTTGAATTTTCAATGGGTTCCCTAAGGCATTCTATGGAATTCCTCCTGGATTCTGTGGGTTGCCTCTAGAATCCTAGATCCTGAGGAAGCCTATGGATTTTCATAGGACTCCCGTGGATGTCCTAAGGAAGCCGATTAATGTCCCAATGAAATCTATGGATATCCTTTGTAGTCCGGTGGGTGTCCATCAGATCCTGGTGGATGTCCGAAGAGTCCTATGGAATTTCAGAAAGAGTTCACATATATATATATATATGTATATATAAATATATATGCACAACCGGTCATCATCATCGTCATCATCTTCATCATTATGCTGAGATCTCCGGAAAACGTTTCTTATCACGCCTGGACCCCGAACGTTGACATCCCCAGGGGATTCATATCGGGAGCATCGGGTTAAATCAATACGGGAAGCCGGAAGAAATCGGATCCGTGGACACCAGAAGCCGCCCATGTTAATATTTTATGGGGGAAGGGGGGTTCGGTCATCAACTTTCCAAGATGGGCGCCGCGCTGTCTCGCGCACTTCCATCAACTTTCTGCGAGCGCGGGCCCCCCTCAACATGAGTACGTATCTCTCCTTCCGCTTGCTGCACGCAGCTCGACCAGACGCCGTCCGTTCGGCGGCGTTGGTGTTATCTCGCGAACTCCTCATCGCCATTGTCACATCAAGAGGAAAATCTTCCGTTCTGCGAAAGTACCCTGGCCACCCATCGAGTTGCCTGAATCGTTGATCGACGATGATCGGGTTGGGATTCCGCCGCCGACTCGGCGAAGGTAGGGCACCTGCCATCTTCCAGAACCGTTGATCGTCCAGGGCAGTTCGGTGGCAACTCAGGGGAGCCTCCGATACCATGTGGTCGGCTCTTGCTGATCGACGCTAACCGACGCTAGAGCGACGCTAAATCAACGCTAACCGACGCTAAATCGGCGCTATCCGATCGACACCCAGCCGCTCATCGACGCTAGATACGGGATTCCTAGGGTCTGCCGGGCTCCCCTGATTTGCGGCCGAAGGGTAGGGCTAATTTGTTGATCGGCGAAGGCATCTTTCTAGATGCCTCCTAGATGGGGTCCGAGTATCGAAAGCTGGGCGAGGGCTGCTAAAACCGTGGCTGCTAAAACGGCCCTCCCGGAAGGAAAAAACAACTTCCCGGAATGAGGCGCGGCACGCGAAACAATCCACGGGCTTCTTCCGGGAAGGACGAATACACCTTCCCGGAGGTCGATTTTAGCAGCCACGGATTTAGCAGCCCTTGCCCGGCTTCCGAGAGTAGATGGGTTCGGAAGATCGCGCCGCGTCGCCGATACATCGGCGATGCATCGGCGATTCACCGGCGATGCATCGACGACGTCGGCGATGCATCGGCGACGCCAGCGCGAAGACAATCGGGCTCCGCGTCGAGCCGCATCGCCGATGCATCGACGATGCGGCACGATCCTCCGACCCCATCCACTCCGACCCCATCTAGGAGGCCTAGACTTCAAGAATAGCTCATTCGGCGAGTGCGGTAGCTTGCGGGAAGCGTGGCTCGGCGAAGGCAGGGCTCCTGCATCTTCCGGAGCTGCTTCTCCAGCTGGCCCCAGAAGGGCGCCTGCCCACGCGCACAGGAGGAGCGGGAGGGGGGACGGCCCCGCAGCGCTGCGGCGCGCGCCCGTGGGACAAGACTGCCCTTCTTGATCTCTCTCGATCTCTCTCTCTCTCTCTCTCCCTCTCTCTCCCTCCCTCTCTCTCTCTCTCTCTCTCTCTCTCTCTCTCTCCATATATATATATATATGCTCAGCCCCCCCCAGCACCCCATCCTCCAGCGAGCGATCACTCCGATGACCCTCCTCCTTCTCCTCCTCCACCAGCTCCTCTTTCCACTCCTTCTCCCTGTCCTTTTCTTCGTCCTTCATCTCCTCATCCTCATCCTCCTGTTCCTCTGCCTCAGCGTCCTCACCAAACATAGTTCAGCCTCCCCACCGCCCAGGCATCCCTCCTCGCCCTCCTCTTCCTCCTCCTGCCCCCCATCCTGCTTCATCTCCTCTTCCTCGTCGTCCTCGTGCTCCTCCTCCTCCTCCTCCTCCTCCTCCTCCTACCCCTCACCCTGCTTTCTCTCCTCTTCCTCCTCCTCCTCCTCCTCCTCACCCTCCTCGTTTTCCAGCGTAGGTTGTGGACCATGCTCCTCGCTCCCATGATAGTCCTTCTCCTTCTGCTCCTCATCCTCCTCCTGCTCGTTTTCCACCTCCTCTTCCTCATCCTCCTATTCGTCTTCCTCCTCCTCGTCCTCATCCTCCTAGTCTTCCTCATCCCCCTCCTCATCCTCCTCCCTCCTCCTTTTCCTCATCCGCCTCATCATCCACATCCTCTTCTTCTTCCTCCGTCTCAGTCTCCTCGCCGACTGGCCAGGAGGGCATCAGCCTCACTACGGTTGCAGGCCAATGGATTGCAACCCAACCGATCTCAGTCATACCTATGTCAATGCAGTCGGTTGCAGCCAAATCGATTGCAATCCTGCTTGTCCTGCTTCTCTTCCTCCTCTTCGTCCTTCTCAAGTCCTCCCCGCTCATTATTCCTCTTCCTCCTCGTCCTCCCCCTCCTTCCTCTTCCTCCTCCTCCTCCTCCTCCTCCTCCTCCTCCTCTCCCTCCTCCTCTTCCTCGTCCTCGCTTTCCTTGTCCGCCTCATCTTCATCCGCCTCTTCTTCTTCCACCTCAACCAAACTGGTTGCAACCATCCGTACTGAATCGAGCGTCTGTTTTTGTTTCTCGGCTGCTTCTCTCTCCAGCGCTGGCGCCACACCACGCCATGAGGAGGAGGGGGAGGGGGGGGGAGGAGGAGGAGGAGGAGGTGAAGGAGGAGGAGGAGGAAGGTGAGGAAGAGAAGGGGGGGCAGGCGGAGGAGGAGGAGGAGGAGCAGCACGGGAGGAGGAAGCAGGTGCGTAGGAGGAGGCAAAGGAAGAAGGTGCGGAGGCGAAGGAGGAGGAGGAAGAAGAGGGAGAAGAGGCCTACGAGCCGACACGTGGGCGGGATTAGAAACAGTATGGGCGAAGAACACCGATCCAGCAGGTGGACAAACAACAATGTGAGTAGGTAGCGCGCCAGAGAAGTGGAGCAACTGACACAGGCGTGGGGAAGCTGTGAAAGGGCGAAGAAATCGAACCATTTAAGCAGAACAGGAACCATGGAGCAAGGAAAACAAACCAGGGTTGGAAGGTGCTGAATTCTGCAGATTCCAGATACAGGGGAAGCGGGTAGAACACATGAGTAAATGAAACGGAGCACGGGGAGGATACAACGAAACAGTGCTGGTTAACTCGAGAAGATGAAACGACTAGCAACAATATCAGGTGTGAAGGAATCGAGGCAAGGGAGACCACACATGAACAAGGGGCGAAGAAACCAACGCAACTATGAAGAACACGGACAAGAGGTGGAGACGGCAAAAAACGAGGACGATCAACAGAGCAGAGGTAAGACAGCACCGCCAAAGACGCAACTACATGTTTCAGGTTGCCGACAGATGGCCGAGAAGCAAATGCAATTGCAAGCACTCGCCGTCCGAGCGAGGCGCATCGCCCCTCGGCAAACTGTGCCTCGCCATCCGGCCTCCAATGTTAAATGCCACTGCGAACGGACACAAAGGCCTGTGAGTTGCTAAGACTGAACATGCATTCGCGACAGCGACCAGCTGCAACACTAAAACTCGCACCGCTTCCATGAACTCCCCACCCCGGCCTTGCACGAGAGCATGGTGTACGCAGTCACGCCCAAGCTCCAGAGGTCACACGAGCTCGTGTACCCAGCGGCCTGCGAAGGCGACAACCGCAAAATGTGGAGATGCCAACTCTTTCTCATGCGGCGGCCGGTGGAGGTTTCGGAGGCGGACAACGGTGGACACTGCATAGCTGTTGCCCCTCCTCGCATGCAGATCATAGGAAGCCCTCTGGGACCCGACATCAAATCGACAGGCACCACATTGACCCATAGAAACCTGATGAGTGTGCAAATGGACAGGCAGGAACGCTCATATACGCCATAGGGCATCCAAAGGAAACCAACAGGAAACCTGACGGGACACCAGAGGAGCCCATAAGGAACTCAAGGGTGCCCACCGAGAACCTACTTCGGTGGGAATCCGTTGGAAGCCAATGAGATGCTTCAGAATAAAGCCATGGGAAAACCAATCGAAACCAATATAAGCCCAACGTGACATACACTATTTGAAATCATCCGCAATCAACATAGACCTGAGAGCAACCCACAGGACACGCAAGAAATTAACGGGGACCCACGAGTTTCCAGACGGATTGATGCCGAAGCCACTCCACAGGGAACCCACCAGAAGCCTCAAGGACATCAACGAGATCCAATAGGATCCAATAGGCAGCCCGTACGACACTCACGCGCGAACGCAAATGAGACACGGCAGCCCATGTCCAGAAAAAAACAGTTAGGTCGGGCATGTCCCCCTACAGGCGGAATTTGGACGAGCAAAAGTTCAACATATCCAAAACATGTTGAAACAATGGTAGAACAATCGCCCCCAGACTATCCTGTAACCAGTTTGTAAACATCCCCCCTATAGGGGGACACGCCCCACTGAAAAGTAAAGCCGTCCCCACCTCCACGGGGTGGAACCCTGGCACCATGGGGTGCCCTCTCCTTCGGGTCTCGCAAGACCCACCGGGGGATATGCTGGAAGAGCCACCTCACTGGGTTTCTTAATGAGCGTGGGGGGGTAACCCTCCGCGGACGGGGGTCAACCTCGCTTCGTCGTCGCCGCACCGCGACGGGGGTCGGAGCGCCTTCGGCGCGCAGTGGCTGCCCGCGACGGGGGTTCGATGTGGGGTTGTCGGCGGGGGTGACGCCCCCCCCGCGCTTACTAAGAAACTCGGGGTACCATGTCCCAGCAGGGATTGGAACGGATCTGACGATTCTGACCATCAGAAGTTCAATGGCAGCCCATAAGGAGCCTTGAAACATTCGATACCCGGAGGGCTGCAAGGAGGGAGGGGGGATGGAAGGAGGGAGGACGACAGACGATGCGAAAAGGACGCCACTTCACTACACTTGTGAGCTGTAGTAAACTGCGCTCTCGAGGTAAACTGGTCGATTACGCCCACTGCGTGCGCTCTCGAGGTGAACCGTTCGATTGCGATCGGCCCGCTCCGCAAGCGCCGCTGCACCCGGACTGGGGGAAGTCGCCTCCCCAACGCCGACTCACCAAAAACCATCGACGCCGCAAGTTGATGTTTCGCTCATGGGCGGTGATAGGCGACAGCCGGTTGTGCGAACATTGGAGGAAATGTGATCCCCATCGCTGGCCTGAGAAAACTCGATAGGGGGGCTTTCGGAAACTGGTGGGACCCCCCCCCCCCCACACCTCCTGGCAAAATATAAACGAGGGTTCTCAGCAGCAGAGGGACCAATCCCCTCCAACTCTAACCCCGCACCACCTGGAACCAGAGGGAGACCTCGATCAGGCCGCATCCACAACCACTCCCGTCGCCGACGTCAGCGACGTCGTCGTCCGCATCCGCCGCCACACTCGACGTCGGGGTGGTCGCCGTCGTGGTCGTTGTCGTCGTCGTCGTCGTGGTCACCGTCTTCGTCGCCATCGTCGTCGTCAACGGCGTAGTCGACGTCGTCAACGAGGATGTCGTCGTCATCGTCGTCGAGGTCGCCGTCGCCGTCGCTGTCGTCGTCGTCGTCGCCGTCGGTCGTCGTCGTCGTCGAAGTTGTCGTAGTCGTTCGTCGTCGACGTCGTCACTGTCCGTCGTCGTCCTTTGTCGTCGTCGATGTCCGTCGTCGTCGTCGTCTGTCGTAGTCGTCGTAGTCGTCGTCGTCGTCGTCGTCGTCGCCCTTCGTCGTTGCGTTGCCATCGGTCGTCGTCTGTCGTTGACGTCGTCGCAATTGTCGTCGCAGTTGCCGTCGTCGTCGTTGTCGTCGTCCGTCGTCATCATCCTACTCGTCGTCGTCGTCGCCGTCGTCACCGTCGTCATCGTGGTCGTCGTCCGTCGCCGTCGTCGTCGTCGTCCTCTTCATCCGCCGTCGTCGCCGCTATCGTCGTCGTCGTAAGTCGTCGTCGTCATGCGTCGTCGTCGCCGACGTCGTCCGTCGTCGTTTTCGTCCATCGTCGTCGTCGTCCGTCGACGTCGTTGGCGTCGAAGCTCTCGTCGTCGTCGTCGTCCGTCGCCGTCGTCGTCGTCGTCGCCTTGGTGGTCGTCGTCGACGCTGGCAGTTGTCGTCGTCGACCGTTGTCGTCGGTCGCCGGCGTCCGTTATCGTCGTCGTTATCGTTGTCGAGGTCGCCGTTACTGTCACTTGTCGTCGTCGTGCGTCGTCGCCGTCTTTGTGGCCGTCGCCGGTCGTCGTCGCTGACTCCGTCGTGGTGAGCACCCGCCGTCGTCGCCAACGTCGACGTCGTCACGTCTTCGTGGCCGTCGTCGTCGTCGTCGTCGCCATCCGTAGTCGTATTCGTCGTTGTCGTTGTCGTCACTGCACGCTGTCATCGTTGTCGTCCACGGCTGCCATCGTGAACGCCATTGTCCTCGTCGTCGCCGTGGTCGCCGTCATCGTCGTCACCCTCGTCATCGACATCCACAATCGTCCGTCGTCGTCGACGTCGTCGTGATTGTCGTCGTCGCCGTCCACAGTCGTCCGTCGTCGAACGTCGGCATGCGTCGTTGTCGTGGCCGTCGTCGTCGTCGTCGTCGCCATCGTCATTATCCGTCGTCGTCGGACATCGTCGTCGTCGTGATCACCGTTGTCGTCGTCTTGGTGGTCGTCCGTCGTCGCCAGCGTCGTCGTCACAATCCACTGAAGACGTCGTCCGTCGTCGTCGTCGTCGTCGTCGTCGGAATCGTGGTCATCGTCGACGTCATCGTCGTCGGCATCAGCCATCGTTCGTCCTCGTCGTCGTCGTCGGCGACGTCGTCGTCACCGTCGTCGTCGTCGTCGCCGTCGTCGTCGTCGTCGTCGACGTCGCCGTCAATCGTCGTGGTTGTCGTCGTCCTCATCCGTCGCCGTGGACGTCGTTGCCCGTGTCGTCGTCCACAATCATCGTCGTCGTCCATCGTCGTCGTCATCGTCGCCATCGCTGTCCGTCGTCGTCGTCGTCGTGTTGCCCTCGTCGTCGACGTCGACATCGTCGTTGTCGTTAGTCGTCGTCGTCGTCCGATCGGCATCGTCCGTCGTCGTCGCTAATGGGTTTCCTCGTCGTCACCGTTGTCGTCGTCGTCGTCGTTCTCGTCCGTCGTCGTCGCGGACAGTTCTCGTCGTCGTCGTCGTGGTTGACGTCGTCGTCGTCGTCCTCGCCGTCAGCGTCGTCGTCGTCCGTCGTCTTGGTCGTCGTCCGTCGTCGTCTGTAATCGACCGTCGTCTTTGTCGTCGTCGTCGTCAGCGTCGTCGTTGTCATCGCCGTCGAAGATGACGTCATCGTCTCTGTCCGTCGCCGTCACCATCGTTCATCGACGTCGTCGTCGAAGTCACCGTCGTCGTCGTCGCCGTCCATCGTTGTCCATCGTCGTCATAATCGTCGTCGTCGTTGTTGACAGTCAACGTTGTCGTCCGTCGCCGCCATCGTCGCCCATCCGCCGCCGTCGTCGTCGTCGTCGTCGTTGTCATCGTCGCCGTGATCGTCATCATGCTCGTCATCGTCGTCGTGCCTCGTTGTCGTCGTCGTCCGTCGTGGTCCGTAGTCGTCGTCGTCATCGTCGTCGTCCATCGTCGTCCTCGTCCGTCGTCGGCGCTGACAGTCCTCGTCGTGTGTTTCGTCGTGCGTCGTGTTTTTCGTCGTCGTTCGTCGTTGTTCGTGTTCGTCGTTCGTCGTTCGTTTTTCGTCGTTCGTTCGTCCGTCCGTCTTCGTTCGTCGTGTTGTTCGTCGTCGTCATTGTCCGTCGTCCGACGTCATCGTCGTGGTCCGTGGTCGTCTGGAAACGTCGACCGTTCTCATCGTCGTCCGTCGCCGTCGTATTCGTCGTCCGCCGTCCTCGTCGGCGTCCTCCGTCGTCGTCCGTTGTCGTCGTCGGTCGTCGTCATCGTCGTCGTTGTGCGTCGTCGTCCAACGACGTCGTCCGTCGTCATCGTCGTCGTGGTCGTCCGTCGTCGTCTTCCATCGTGGTCGTCGCTGTCGTCGTCAACCGTCCTCTGCGATCCTTCGACGTCGACGTCGCTGTGGTCGCCGTCATCGTCGTCGTCGTAGTGGTCGCGGGCAATCGTTGGTCGTCGTCGGTCGGCGTCGTCGTCGTTGGTTGTCTCCGTCATCATCATCGGTGGGTCCGTCAGTCGGAAAATCGTACAGTCGGTCCGTCGTCGTCCTCGTCGTCGTCTTCGTCCGTCGCAGTCGTCGTCGTTGTAGTCGTTATCGGTGTCGCCTGTCGTCGTCCGTCGTCGTCGGCTGTCGTCGGTCGTCGTCGGCCGTGGTCGTCGTCGTCGTCTTCAGTCGATCGGTCGGTCGGTCGAGCGGTCCGTCGTCGTCGCCGTCGTCCGGCGTCGTCGTCACTGACCGTCGTCGTCGTCCGTGGTCGTCGTCATTGTCGTCCGACGTCGATGTCGTCGCCGTCCGTCCGGCGTCGTCGGCGTAGGCGTCGTCGTCGACGTCGCCCGTCCACCGCCGTCGTCGTCCGTCGTCGTAGTAGTCGCCGTCGTCGCCCGTCATCGACACCGTTGTCGTAATCGGTCGGTCAATCGTTCTGGTCGTCGTCGGACGTCGTCTTCGGCCGTCGGTCTGTCCGTGCGTCCGTCAGCCCGTCCTCGTTCTGGTCGTCAACGTCGTCAGCCTGTCGTCGTCGTCCTTCGACCGTCGTC